ATAACCATTATGAATTCGAAATTTCAATTAAGGCAACAAGGATAAAAATTATGGAAACAATCATTAAAAAAATATATATAAATTAAAATCTTAAATTTCTTATTTGATTAAATAAGCTTAACTTTATATTATTTTATTTTAAATACATGAGAATGAATCAATGAGTTATGAATCTGATATACTGAAAAAAATATTATTTGTTTCAATTAATAATCCAAAATGAATTCACTTTAAGAAGGATTAAAGAATATTAAATTAATTATACTTCAGTAATTAAAATGAAATAATCACAATTTCTAAATGAACTTGATAATTAATATAAATTATATAAGAAGAAATAATTATGGCTTATTCCATTATAAATTTAGTTATTAAATCAATTCTTCATTTGAATTTAATCAATCAAAACATTATTATCATCAAATCATTATTAATTAAAGAAATAACAATGTTTTTACAAAATTTATAATAATGCTGGATTTGAAATAAAAGTGTAATTTTAAAGGTCATTAAAAGAATAAAAACTAATCAACCAGAATAATATAGATTTAGTTAATTATTGAACAATAAATTATTGTTTTATCTGATACAATAAACTTCTCATTTAATAAATTTTAAAATAAAGAAATACTTAATATCTGATAAAATTAAATAATTAAGCCACTATCACCGTTAGAACCAGTAAAGAATAGATTAGCTAAAACGATTATCGGCGCTTCATATTAAAGTAATAGATTTGAACTTGTTTAAAGTTTTTCTCCTATTATTGATCTGAACGTCTTCCTATTGCTTTTGGGTAATTAAAATCATCATATTATTTTAGTAGTACAACTAAATGACATATAAAAACAAAGAAGAGTTTTGTTCAATTTTTTATTGGAGCGAAATGCTGTGAACATGGAGAACTAGAAGACATTGATAATACCAGAGGAAAAAGAGTAAAAATTAGCAAAGGATGTAAGACCAATAAAAGCATTTGAAACATGCTGATGATAAAAATAATGAAGATGAAACTAGCTTAGAATCTATTTTAATTACTGGAGTAAGTAATTAAGAAATTTAACGAAAAAAAAAATATAAATATAAAGGTAAAGTTAATGATAATGATAAGATACTACCATAATATTCAACCATTTATTTATTTAAAATTATAACTATACTACATTTAGCAAATTTAACTCCAAAATTTTTAGATATCAATTACAAGGCATGCCTTATAGATAATTTTGCTCTTTCAACTAAAGTCTTAAAATCTTTTAAAAAATTCAATTAT